TTATCTTTTAGAGTTCTTGAAAAACTGGTTTTCCAGAAAACGGGGTCTTCAAGAGTCATGGGCCCGAACCCTTTTAGGATTTTCTTAGTCTCACTGAGTTCTACTTATAGCCAAAATATGGAGTCAAACGGCGTCCGACAGTTGGATAGGTTCCCTCGTCAGTAATATTGTACAATATCTTCAATAATGGCGCATGTCTGTTTACTCTCATAGCTCAGCAAATATTTTTTTATTTGCATTATATTTGAATTTCTAGTTGCTAACAAGTTTAGTTTCAATGCCATTGCCACAACAACTTTGTCGTCAATAACACCACAATTACCACCTTCGTTCTCGTCCAAAACAGCTACAAGATCAACTATCACATTGGACACTCATACACCTTCTCGTTCACATACATCAACATTTGTAATTTCAACTCCACCACCTTTAGTTTTGGAATCGAATTCGCCATTAAGAATAATGAATTCATCAACAATACTAACAGTTCCCACAGCATCACAGACAAAAAATGCTGAAATGCATGAATTATCGATCGTTGATAGAATAGAACGGTGGTGTAATGCACAAAAAGCTGGTGTCATATTAACAAATGGTGATAATTACAAAATAACAATTACAAGTCGTAAGGGTGCAATGTCAGCAGCCGTTGCTTGCCGTTATGGATCATCCATCACACTGAAAAGACTTACTGATACGTTTGGTGGTGGTTTTCAATTATCAAAATTTTACCAGCATATTACTAAAACAAAATGTCCAGTGCTCAAAGAAAAGAAACAATAAAACGAAAATGCTTTAGAGAAAAAAGAAACTCAAGACAAAGAAAAACTGGAGAAAAAATCAAAAAAGGTAGTTTTCAATACCTCAGTTATTTCTGAAAAATAATTATCTCTTTTTTTCTTTGATAAAATTGATACAGAAAGTATCACCCGTTGGTCTAATTGTTAATGGTGCTAATTCATCCAAGAAAGGTACAAAAGAAGCAACATCAAGTAACAACAACAAAGCCTCGTTATCGTCATCAACAAAAAGAATACCTGGCTGTACGAAAAAAAATTCAACGAAACCAGCAACAACCAGTGTTGAAAGAACTAAAAAGCGTCCGAGTGACTCTTCAACATTTAATGATGTTTCAGCTAAAATTCGAAAAAAAAATTATGTTAACAGTAAGCTGTGACAAAAAATAGAAGTAGAAAAAGCGATTTGTTTGGACGAAAAAAGCGAAAAGACTTCATTTTTGACGAACTTTTTTATTTTGGGCGATTATTTTTGTCCATTTTTTTGTGACATTTTGTCAAATAATATCTTTTCTCATACATTACTTTATTTAGATTTTTTTATTTTGTGTTCAACAACCAGGCTTTTCGAAATCATATTCGAACTATTGGGATTTTTATGACTATTCGATTCGATCAGTTTCTTTTAAAAACAACGCTTATCCGTTCGTCTATCATAGCTCGTTCGTTTCTTTAGATTATTCATTACTCTTTCGCTATGAATCTCATTGAACCTCACGAGACTCTGGATCTGTCAGATGACGTTTTGTCGTTTTCAAATGATAAGTTTTATGATTACGTGCGAGAAACAAGTGGTGAAGAAGCAGTGGAGATACGTAAATTTCAAGCGATTCGAAGTTTTAATTACTGCCACAATAGATGAAACGTTAGCTATATTAGATGATGATGTTGAAGAATTGAAAGATTTTAAGCGAAGAGTAGATTATACACAGTTTGATGGAAAATTTGTGATGAAACTTGGAATAAAAAATCGAATAACAAAAATTTAATAACGTTATTGAAACCAAAAAACGAACAAACTCAAATAACAATAAGTACGACAACGGTCGATGATCAAAATATCGATAGTCAAAATTTATACGAATTAATTTTATCATTATATTCGAAAACAAGTTTCTATGCAAATCTTTCACCCAAACCTTTTCTGTTTACTCTAATTAAAAATATAAGCAGCAATCTACAGAAAGAAAAAAATAACCATCTTTTCAATGACTGTGTTAAAAGATTTTCCGTATCATTGTTCATATTATGTGGTAGAAACGGATATAATTTTATAAAATGCAATCTGTTCTGTGCATTACCATCGATAGTTACTATTGAAGACTTACAACAAGAAATAAATTTCAATCAATGGTTTTTTAGATTCGATCAATTACGAGAACATTTGAACTTATTGAAAACACCTGAGAACTTTCTTTTTCTGATGTTCAGCGCTAATTCCTTCCACGTTATCCGGAGAAACGCAAATGATGTATTCTTTCCTCCGGAGAATCACCATTCAGCCTCTTGCGAGATCTTGCAGGTAGATTTGCTCGCATACTCTATGAAAAAACTGAAGATTCTTTTCTTTTTCTTCGAGAATTCGCAAGATAAAACGTTTTTAGAAATATGTGGTCAGATGCGGAATGAAAAAGTGCATTGATCACTGTTTTCCATTTTGCTAGAACTATAAATTCTGTTCGGTTTTGCTGGAAAACAGGTACCATTAATCATAGATGTAACCGGTCAAGATTTTCTCGACCAGTCACAAAATTTCTGACCCAACCGGGTCGGCCGGTTGGCCGGTCATATACTTTCCCAGTGTGTAAGTGTAAAAGCCTAACGACAGCGCAGTGTTAAGGCTTCTGGAAAGACGGACGTTTCAAGATGTCCCTTAGATACAGTTTTGTAAAGGACACTCCGGACTACAGAAAATATAAAATAACATTCTTCTTTTATTGCTACAATATTTATCAAAGAATTGTTTCGATTCAGTTGACGTTAAATATTCTAGATAATCAGATTTTGACTTAGCTATATAAGTTAGACAATCAGTTACTGACAGT